TATTATATTCTTGAATGTGGGACAAAAAATGCTTGGACGTTGGTGATGTTCCAAAAATCAATGAGTGCAATGGATCAGGTGGAGATTCGAATGCTGGCAAATTCACTTTGCCATTAGTACAACACATGCCAGCCGTTTCACCTGGAAATTTGGCTGCAGCACAATGTATAAATCTCATCGTCATTCCACCAATAAGACCATGTTCATTGTAATCCATTTCACTGCTGTAATGAAATGCAGCAAATTCCATGGCTTGTGCATGATGCGAAATTCGTGACTTTCGTCTTGATGCTCGATTTACTGACGGACCTGCAGATGTAGTTCGATGTTAATTTCGTAAATGTTGAACAACATTTCGTTGTAAATGTGCCTCTTCACTTTGAGATCTTCTATGAGACTGTTGCGCGACATAATTATATGATCGTTATAAAACAATAATTTTTGAATATCGTGTGTGCATGCTTGATTAATATTGTACATTTAAGAGGTCATAACTCCGAAACCACATATTGCACAGCGTACAAACTTCACAGAAACTATCTACATATTAATCTAAATATGCCCTAAAATTTTTATAGAAATCGGTTATGTGGATCTTGAGCAATAAAATTTATTCAAAATGTACATCGATTTTTATATATATAGATATTCGTTTGTTGCTAGGGGATCGAAAAAAGAAAGAAGGTAAATAATAAACATCTGATTTAAAAATTGCATTTAGAGAAAGCAATAACTGCACACAGGCGAATTCTATATATGGACTACGAAGTGCAAGGGTTCAGCTAGTTATAATATAATATAATATATATAATACAAATTTTATATGACATCTGAGATTGGTGTTCTCTACATAATTTCTCTATTAATGGTGAAACATTTTTAAACGATACAAACTGTTAAAGGACAATCAATATCACCATTCCACGTAAATCCAAAACATAAATAATTATCAACATATTTACGTTTCATTTTTAAATTTAAGCTTTTATCACTTATTAAAGCTGATTGTTTAACATTCATTCCAATATTTAAATTTGCATCAACATTACTACCATCCATTAATTTACGCTTTTTAAAAATCTGTCTATTTTTAAATTTAATTTACAATATTTCTATATCTTGATCGAAATACATATATCGTATAATGCGTAACAATTACACGCGCTCAATTTTCATTATAATGAGCTCAAGGCATGTTTTCATATAGTTATTATAGTATGTGGTAAACGTCAACGCAGCTACTTGTAATACCTGTATCGCGTAGTATCAGATCAGATCGCGTAATATTATAGCTGTTTTATCGTTTTTTTTTATTTTCAGGGGAATTTCGAAGTCAATGCTATCATAAATATAAATTATAATTTTGATTATTATATTTAGTTATGCTTAAAGAATTATAAAATAACAAAAACTGTACGGCACACAAGTGTGCCACGGCACAGTGGTTGAAAATCCCTGCATTAGACGGCACTCTGCATAGGCAATTCAGGGAATTTAGTGTTTTTTTACATTTTGCTTAATTTTCGCAAGTAATATGCAAATTTAGTCGAACTTTTGGTGGAACAAATTATAGTAAATACATTATTTAACATATAATATATACTATTTTATTGCTTTAGTTAATAGAACAACAAAACACTAATCAAAATCGATGTACGTACAAAATATTACGTTATGTTACATTTTTTTTCACTATTTTATTTTTATTTTATTTTAATCTTATATCTTATGGATATATTTCCATCTAGTCATATACACATATACATGAAAATGATATACATATATATTCATATTTTATTTGTGTAGTGTAAATATAAGCATTTACTTTATCGTTTATATATAGGTATTTTTTAAGCATATATGAATAATTTAATAGTACACTTTTTTATCGACATATTATTCAATTTAAATGCATACACTTACATCTATCAAAAAAAGCTATCGATCATAGGTATCATTTTATATTTCAACTAGAGTACCTAAATGTCTAAGTTCTATTTATTTTTTTTATTGAGCATATATATTTATAATTTGTATTTTTATTATTCTTGTAAAATCTATCATACTATTTAATTGAGTAGTTATAATTCAGAAAAAATTTAGATTAAGTAAGGTCATAAAGAATGAATAAAGAAAGTGATAATAAATATTTTGTTGGAACATATATTAATATCTGGACTTAAATAATTTATGTTTGACTTTGAGCCTATAATGTTCAGTGATAAAACACAAAATTCTGTTACTGCTAAAAATATTGACATTATTATTATGATCGTGAAGTTTTTACAAGACATTTCCTTCTTATTGGATTTTGTATGTATACATTCAAATATGAGAAATTCAACTAACTACCTGCACGATTCGACTATAGATCGACTGTCTTTTGCTTTCGGTGTATAACCATGTTTCATTTTTTGTTCGGAAAATGTGTTCTAGTTTTACATAACAAATTTAACGTTATATTATATCTTATTATGGTATCCAATAGAAATGTATATAAAACCAAAAGTTATATTTTTGATTTTTTCTTATACGAGTAAAAATTGTTGAAAACACATACCGTAATGTTAAACATAACATTATTATTAAGGTAATATTTGTATGATTCCGAATAAAGTTTGACGTTTTCATCACATTGTTTAAAGGATTCGTATTGTAATATGTATATGTGTTATAGTAAAAATCCGAAATTCGTCAACACTAATTTTAACTAGTCAATAGTAGTTTTCTCAATTCAATGTCGTTAATACTGATATTGACTAATTAACCAGGATTTCAATGTTGATATCACAGTTTAAATCCGAATAACATCAAAATTAGTTCTAACTAGTTAAAATGTAGAATTAACGAAAACTTCAATTGTGTTACTAGTTTTCAACTACAAGTTTGTATCGAAAGTAAATGTGAAACAAGCATAATTTTTACCGTTTATTACTATAGTACAAACTATTGCAGCCAGTGGTGGACTGGGTATATTTTTTTTGGTCGGCTGAAATATAAAAGGGCCCATCACCAATGAGGTCAATAGTAAATGGTAATGGGACTTTTTACAGTCTTACATTTTTAAAGATAACTAGATAATTGTTTTGAAGTTCTAAAAACCTCTTCCAAAATAATGTATATGTACCAAACTATTTTTGTAAGTACCTTACCTCTACTTGAGGTTCCATTTAAACTTTTACTCCTTATATAATGATAAAAATAAATAACAAAATATCTATAATGGTACCTATTTAATATTAGTGTTGATGCATATACTATAAAATAACATAAATAGATATTTGTATTATTCTCATTATCGCTACGTAACTGTTGCTTGAAGTCTATTTACTAGATCCTTACGTATTATAATAAAGACCTGGTATAGTATTTTATTAGTATTTTATGATATACATATATAATCAATAAATATACAGTTCATAGCTATTAAATGTTTATTATAAAGCCTAATTAAATTAACATTATTTTTATATTTTTTTAGCAAATTTATTTACAATTTCATTTTCGTCTAATTTGTTGATTACATATCTTTATATTTAAAATAAATAAATTTGTAAATCGATCTTGGGTCATGGAAAATCTAAGCCAATGTTTTATTGGTTTCATTGAAGAGAACAACCTTTCACAGCTGGCTGAAGTTATAGAAATAGATAAAGCCACTTGTAAAAGTATAAAAAGGTTTGGAAATATTTGTTTTTCGGCAATTTCTTTGACATAATTTATATTGAAATCTTTCTTTTACTACTTAAAACATAAAATGCCACTTTCATTTCTACTTCTAAGCTATTCTTTGTAATGTGTAGTAATTCTTATAATTATAATTATTATAATTAAATAATTAGTTATCATTAATCTTTCATTATCATTAATATTTTGTTATTTATACCTGTAAATTTATTGGGATCAAAAAATGTTAATACTTACAAAATATTCTAATTTTTAAATAATTTGTCAATTATTGAACGAAAAATTTGTAATAAAATAATGTAGAAAAAGGTAGATAAGGTAATCGGTTTTATCTAGTGTATATTCTCTTTGACAACGACATTTTCGGATCGGTAAACATTAGACAACACAGTTGGTCGAGATAAATGGACGTATCTAAATTAGAATTGCTCAACCCGATCACCGTCCTTTGCTCGTAATCATGTCAGGTGAACTAGAACGTTCGCCTTGGTATGAATCCGGTATATTAGATTTAGGATAAACATGGAATATATAAAAAAAAAAAAAACACGCTCATTATTCACGCGTAAAATACGTGCTTGCGAACGTCTACGAAAACGACTGGAGCAGAAAATATCCAAAATCTTTGGTCCTCCAGAAAACACTGCAAAATCCACCCAAGCGCGTTGTTCAGTATGTGTATTATAATATTATTTGACCCAGTGCCGATCGGTGGTGACCGGCCTAGCCGGACATGATCGGTGCGACGAACACCGTGCGCTATTTCGCACCGTCGCCGTAAGCCGTAAGAAAACGAACTGAAACCAAACCGCGGGTCTGCGCTGGACGACGCGTCCGTCCGACGCGTTTCGGACGCGGTGACGGTGACGAGACGGAAAGGCGACCGCGCTCTGCGTTGCGGGAGACGACCGACGGAGGCGGAGGTCTTACGCTCAGTCGGCACGACCTGAGCCGATAGCTGCGGACCGTTAGAGACCCCGATGCCCCGGTGTCCGCGCGCGCACAACCGCCACCGCACAGCGTGCTACTGGTGACAGTTGTACCCCTTCGACGGGACAAGGGGTACGAGAGGTTGACGAGTGGCGGGTGGATCGGGACGCGGATGGAGTGTCGGCGGAGGACGGGTTCGTGATCGGCTGGGGATGCGGTGTGAAGGGACGGAGGACGCGATCGGAGGCGGCGGAGTCCCTACCCGCCGCCTGCTCCACGCTCGCGGCACCTGTTGACAACCCTCGGCGACAAGCAATGCCGCTGCTGGTGCTGGTGCTGCTGCTGGTGCTGCCTGCTGCTGCTTCGGCTGCTGCTGCCGCGCTGGTGTCAGCCACTCTTGAGCCGCGGTTCGTTGCGGGTGGTGGTCCGTCGTAGTAGCATGCTCTCACACGCTCACGTCCGTTTACACGCATTTCGAATGTGATACTGTCGTATATTCCGTACACGGGTGACCACGAAACGCCGAGCGGGTGAAACACCACACGAGTTCGTATAACGCAAACGCACTCGATCGTGTCGTGTGTTAGTTAAAAAAAAAAAAAAAAAAAAAAAAAAATTAAAAAAACCAAAAGAAACAATAACAATCAAAAGTAAATCTTATCGCTATCTTTGTTGCCGCCGAAATATCGTATTTTACTTTTTTAGACTTTTTTCCCTTTCGCTCTTCCTCCCATCGCAAGACGCGCAGATCACTCATCGTCGCTTTCACGTTACAGGTAATGTACACACTTATTTTTTCAATTACTTTTTCGTACGTAGAACTACGGTTCACTTGGACACCAGTACCTGTTGGTCGAACGGTATCGTTTTTTCGTCTAACGGGTCGTTTCGCCATCGAACGTTTTACGGTACGTCGTTTTGGGCGAATGACCCGATCGGATTTTACGTATGGTTTCACGATTTCTTTGGCATGTCCTGGGCCAATAATCAAATATTTACGGTCCTTATTCAAATGAATATAAAATTCGGGCCGTTAAGCGGGATAAAACGGCTTTTTTTAGTTTTCGACATAAAACCTTGGTATAAAAATATTATTGGATAAGCTCTTTAATAAAACAAAATGCTTCAAGAATGATTTTTTCGGAAAGCACTTTCAACCTATTATTATATTGATTCGGTATATTGATATTAACAAATTTAAATTTAAATTCTTAAATCGTTAAAATAACTACAATAGTTAAAACGATATGCTCATTACACTAAATTAATTTCTACCATTTCAGTGAACAATTTGAATACGTTCGATTTCTGTTGTTCTATAGATAGAAATATCTTAAAATATAAATAAATGATTAACGATATGTTAATATTCTTACTGTATAAGTAGATGTACTATGGAAAAGATATTTTAGTTATTCTTATACAATAATTTTCACTCCCATAAATAATTTTGTTAAAAATTGTTAAATGTGTGTCAAATAATATTCACATGATCACAGTTGATGAAACAAGGCGTCTAATCATATCATGTGACTAAAATAGTTGTATAGTTGTTTCTTATAAACGAATTTCACTTTTGTTATTTTTTCCAAATAAATCAAAAAATAAATATTTTTTTTTTACCTAGTGAAATAAATGTATCTAACTGTTGTTCATTATACATTAATAATATGTCTAGAACATTGTACATTTTTTTTTAAATTTTGCTTTTTTCTTTTTTTAATAAAACAACTATTTTCATACTTCAAATATTTATAAAAATTAAAAATGTTTTGATTTTAAAATTTAAATTGTTATCTAATAATTATCTTTGGTTTTTCACATTTTATTTGAAACTTTAATTATTATCAATTGACTAATATATAGAGTTATTTAATATTTTTCAAATACGTTATAAATGGTCAAGTTATAGATTTAATATAATTAATCTATTAAATAATTTAAAAACGTGAAGGATACGTTTAATTTATTCTATATCAAGTTCACGTTTTTGTTATTTGTATTGAGAAAATGTTTGGTATGCTTATATTCAAAAAACTATGATAATATTTAGAAACGAGCATTGGACAGAGCTAATAAGAAATAAAGGCAATTTTATGAAAAATTGCAGATTCTCTTATATTTTATTATTATTTTTATTTTTTCGATTTCCCTGAAGCTTTAAATAATATTAACATTTTTTGTCAACCAAATGTGTTTTCAATTATAAATTAAAGTGCTTCAATTTAATTTGTTTTTTGAAAAGTAATAAATAAAATAAACTGATAGCAAATATTTTAAACTAAATAGTGAATACAGGATAATATATTATCACGGAATATTAAAAATTCATATCGACAAAGCCAGTAGGTATATATTTTTATAGTTTCAAATATGGAAACAATGAAAATCCTAAATTTACAAAACCTTTAATTCAGCACATTATAAATGTTGGTGTAAAAAATAAACATATTTCGTGTTCTAATTTTTTGGTTTTTACATTGTAACAGAATTATTTGACTTTTTTAAAGTGTAATATGTGTTTAATTTTATTTTCACACCAGTATACTATAAAATATGAATTGTAAAAAACAAGTTTGTGTAAACCTAATATTTATTATTGCAAAGTTGATAACAGTATTTGTGCTATTTATCATTAAATATATTTCATCAGTTGTTTGTGTTAAAATAAATTTTAAAACTTGACAATGTCGCGATGATACAATTAAATCAGGATACGTGAGAATCTTTACGTGTTAACAAAAGATCCTTATGTAGCTATTCAACGAATACGTTCTAAGGTATTTTTGAGATTTTATTTTGTGACCAAATATAAAATTTAATTTTAACAGTAATATTTTTATAGTTTTGTTCCGTTTCTATCATCATCACCTATGCCGACATTCATGTTAGTGGATAATTAATTAAAAAACTACAAACATAATAATATATTATATAACAAAGGATAATTGTTGTCACATATCTAATAATAATTATCGTGCACCGTTCATATTGTTTTACTGTTCACAAGAATATTATACTTTTATGGCCATTGGTGTTTGAATGTAACGAGTGTATTAGAGGTTGTCCGTAGAACCTAACGCTGTCATAACTACGGTATTGAAATTAGAAGTTAACAATTTGTTATAATACTATTACGCGTAAATGCACGTAAGAACACTAATCATGCCTGTGGTTAAACGTATAATATTATCAATAACATTTCATCCAAGCTGTTAAAATAATAATATTATTATTATTTATTATTATTATTATTATTATTATTGTTATAATAAGAAGCAAAGGAAATGATAGTATTAAGATAAAAAACTTTCTTACTCGTGAAATTGCAGATTAATGTGCATAAAATATTTTGGATCCAAGCCAGTGATGGAGCTAGTGTACCAATTTTACTGTCGTGTAAAACAGAAAAGGAATGACATGAATATATTTTCATGTTTCTTTTGTCGAGATTACGTAGTTGTATTATAAAAAAAAAAAAAAAAACCACTTACAGAAGTTTAACATTTAGTTTGGGTGCATTTTAATCCATATTTTATTTTCATTACATAAAACGATATGATGTTATTCGGGCTAAAATTCATTCAAACCGATCGTATTATAGATATTCACAAATGATGTGTGTATTTTTAGATATACAAAGAACTATTAATTATTTTAGTGTTTTTCATATAAAATATGAATCAGGACCGATATCACTTGTCTGGTTTAAGAAGTTTCGATTCCTGTATAAATATGTCTATACGATAACATACTAATTGTTATAAATTATTTTTTTATTAATAATATGAAAAATGCAGAGATTAATAGATTTGAAAATGGCACTAAATTAATTTTAGTCTTGTATTATTAAAATGTCGTTTCCAATACAGGGTCTGTCACCAATATAATAATATTACCTATTGGATGTTCATGGTCAAAACATTAATGTTTTAACTTAATGATGTATTATGGTTCCAATAATATTACAACACGTAGTAAATATATTAATAAACATCACGTGAAATACGAGTATATGAGCAACAGACACATGCAATATATACACACGTCAAAAATATAAGGTGAATACCTATTAAAATATCATAACATCATTATACAAGTTTCAATTTAAGTGTATCTTACCGTCATGACATGGTATTTCCGCGTTTCTTTTTTTAAAAAAAAATAAAAATAATTTAAAATGTAATTCAACGTTTCACAAATATATTACATTATATTCTAATACATATATTGTACGAAACTGGCTAGATTTTTAACCTCGTAGACAATGTGTAGTTGCAGATTATTTTTGTTGCCTTTTTTCACTTTCATGAGAGAAATCCATTAGTTCATTATTATTTTTCATTTTTCCAAACTTTTCCACTCAATTTCTCTCTAATTTGAGCACACTATCTCTCACTCAGTGGCCCACTTTTTCATTACATGGTTCAACACGTAGGTGAGCTTATGTATAATCCATTAACTATATTATCATTTTTTACTGTTATCTACTAACTATACAATACCGATTATTTTTATCACTTCTGCAACCACTTATATAACGTTACTTATATTTATTATTCTCATTTCAACCTATCTCCGTTGTTTTACAAACTTTTTTTTTTTTTAATTTAAACTTCGATTTCATAACTTTACAGGCTATTGTTCATATTCAAATATCTGTCTACATGTTGTTTAGATTAATAAATATTGTGGAATGCATTCTGACAACACAATTTTAAAAATATAAAATAAACAATTCTAACCTTTTAATTAAATATAAAAGAAAAATATAATATAACTATCATCTACTTGTACGTAATATTATGTATAAAATAAAAATGGCATTGATGAGACGATACTGTAAAATATATTTAAATAAACTTTATTATTATTATTTAAAACTAAAGTGAAATCGTGTTTATAATATTCATAGTATTGGCAATACTTCGTATTTATAATTTATAGTAACCGGTTATTATATCTAAATTATTAATTTTAAATTGAACATGATTTATTCATTCTTCGACATTACAACTTATGTAATTTTAAATCTTATAAAGATTAAGATAAAATTAACTCACGGATGAGTGAATTGTTTTCAATAATTGTTATAAAAATGTTATGAGTTATGACTTATTACTAGCATACCATGGTGGCAATTTTGGAGGAATTGCATTTTTTACGATCGTATTTTTTTTCTATTTACTATTCGAATAATGACGTATATATTATACGTTTTTTTATATTAAACTAAGAATAATTTAAATTAAATCTAGGTATGATAGTGTATTGAGCCCATCCGAATTGTCAACCTATGTTCTTTATATTTGGTTTTGTGGTTTTCTAAATTCATATCATGAATGGCAAGCATCTCAGAAAATAGGGGAACTTGACCACCATGTAACACGTTATTTCATTTGTGCTTAAATTTTTTACTCTTTCCGTATTTAAAACCTTTAGGAAGCACGTAGTACAGGTCTAATATACATAAATTATACATACATATTATAAATGGGTACTATTATACGCCAACACCAGAGAGATAAGATAGACTTAGATCGTAGTTTCTGCTTCGCTTCAGACAGTCCAAATATAAGCCCTAGCGGAAGAACTGTCGGTACAATTTCTAGTATCTCTTAAGACATAATTTTATATGTAATACGTATTATTATAGTTATTACTAATATTATTATAATGTGCAGTTTATTTAATAAAGTCATTAACTATTTTACTAACTTAAGTGTCTTCAAATATCTTTTAAACACCTTCAACCGGCAGCCGTAGACCTCCATTA